AAACATACTTAGCCTTAGTGTTTTACAACAAGGTCCGGAAACAATAGGATGTAATTTAAGGTCTATTGGTTCTAAAATATACATGAGAAGGCATATTAGAAACAGCGCTAAAAATCTTACTCCTCAATTTTATATTTTTTCGATATATTAATTTCTACATGCGTCAACCGAGTCCGAAAGAATAATAAAAGATGAAGAAACTTATTAAACATTTCCAAACCAACACTAGCCAGAAATGACAATAAGAGAAACGTCATATAAGAACAATCAAACGTTGTCCATAGCTATGTCGTCAGGGACAACATCATCATCCCTGATGATCGAAGGTGAAACCGATAGGATAATAGACGTTATGGTTAAATTTTGTGAAATTAAATCATATAGTTCAGAATATTTTTTTTAACAAATATTGTTTTTTCTAGTTTGCCCATAAATATTTTGACATATGATGGAGCCAATTTGGTGCCCATAGCAGTTGCAGATAATGATCTCCATCAGAAGTGAAGTTGTTGTTTTTTAGTACCAGCGTGAGCAGGCCAGGCATTCAGTAGGTGGATATTTCACTGGTCGGGTATTCAAAATTTCTTTACATGCATCAATGCCATCTGCATGTGAAATATTCGTATAGAGGGAGGTGACGTCCATAGAGACAAGTGTCGTGTCGGAGGGAAGTGGATTTAAGGCCTGCATTTTTCTAAGATAATCGGTAGTATCTTTGATGTGAGATGGAAGTCAACGAATTCCGATAATTTTTCTGTCGGATGACCGTTCGCTGAAACTATAGGTCTTTCTGGGTTATTGGCCTTATGAATTTTAGGTAAAAGATAAAATCTGCCCGGTTTTGAATTTTCTGGTTTCAAATATTCAAGAGTCTTTTCATCGATGAAACCATCGTTGTGCATTTCTACCAAACTATCAGTTATTTCTCTGCTAAAAGATGTTGTGGTATCAGAGTCTAGTTTTTGGTTGAACCTTGCATCGCCAAGTTGTCGTTCAGACTCTTGAATATAGGCAGATTTATCCATGAAAACCACTGCACTGCCTTTGTCTGCAGGTTTAATGACGATATTGTTGTTATATCGTAAGTTTTTCTATGCAGTTCGTTCTTCATTGGTAAGATTGTCAAAAGGTTTATTGTTATTTTTAGTATTTCTAATAATGTTCGATTTGAAATTGTCAATAAATGATTCCAAGGTGGCATTTTTGCTCGGTTTAGTGATCCAAGTACTCTTTATAATAAATTTGTAGTTGTTCTCGTCTTCTGAACTTTCTGAGTCACTATCCGAGCTTCTGTTGTTATTCTCCTTCGACGCGAAATATTCCTTAATGCATAGACTTCTGGCAAAATTGTCAAGGTCTTCCGACAATTTAGTTTCATTGACAGGGGCAGGTAGAGGACAGAAATTTAAGCCTCTCGAGAGAAGAGATGTTTCAGCTTCCGTTAACTGGTGTTTGGAAAGATTGACCACAATGTTGGAGGTTGAATCAGTCTCTTGTGGCCTACGTTTAAAGCGTCTTACTCGTTTCCTCTTTTCCTCAGATGGTAAAGAAGGATGGATATATTCGATGCCATCCCTGTGGAATTTTCTTTTCTGCCTTTCACTCAAATATTGGGATTGTATGGTTGTTATGTTTTAGGGCGAGCATTGATAGCATCACAATTGTCAGATGTGAGATATTTTTCTACTCTAGATCTACTAGGTAGTTTTGCAAATAATGTGTGGAATATTAAAATCGATTAACTATAAATTAATACGCGTGTACATACATACACACATATTTTAGATGGATAGATCGAACGTTATAATACTGTTTATAAAGGAAAAAACCTAAAAATGTAGCAATTGGTGAACATTTAGGAAACTTTCACACTTCTATCAAGACAATATTTTATCCAACCAGAGGTCTAAAAAAAATTGAAACATTGCTATTGCCTGTATTTTTCTTACTGTAAAAGTATCCGCAGAAATCAAATCCAAAGGATCTTATAAACAAGAGAAACATTGTACCGGGTATATAAATTGATTTGATAGGATCTGGTTTGACATGCCAAATCATGTTTTGTCGCGGACACCCTGTACCGATCCGTTTTGTCTTATAGTGAGAACCAAACCCACCATAATATCAGACTGTTAGGTCGTAACATATCAACATTTATATTTGATGGCTTTGTATATCTCGTCCATCAATAAAAATGTGTTTAAGACTGAAAATCAAACTCGATACTTTGCGCAGTACTTTGACTATTCTTACGGATAACGATTATGATATTGACTTTTAATAGCACTGTAATGTGCGCCATTCTCTTATTTAGACATTACATAAGGAAGAAACCAACTCTACTCCACAGCTAAAACATCATACGAAGACTCCGAAGCGATAAAACAGTTCAACTTTATAAAAGCAGCTGATGATCTAGGTCTTACCCTTAACCATTTTAAACATGCTTCTTATTCGGTTACAACTTTCCTAACAAATCTTTTTGGAAAAATTCTGTTAGAACATAAGTCACTGGAAATTTTAAGTTTGCTATTCTAACTACATGCCTAAAATATGGAAAAGATCCATCAAACATGGATAAAACAGAGGTATTACATAGTTACATCAATTATCTACATACTCTTCAAAGGCACCATCTTACCAATTCTTAGTACTTACGTAATACAATCTACTAATTCAGATTCACAGAAGGATTGTGCATGCTAATGGCAGCATGTATCATCAATGAAGCAAAAGCTGAAACAATCATATTATGTAAGATATTTTTTTTCTGATGACATAAAATAACAAAAAGGCTTTTGACATAGTAGGCATTTGATAACGCTAGACAAATTTTATGAACGTATCCCAAAAATGTCATTGCAGTCAATAATACAAGACTGAATTAACATAAAAAATCAAATGGAAAGGAATTCATAGTCATTTGATATCAAATAAGAAGTAAGGCAATGATAGATATTGTCACTTTTTCTTTATAAACTGTACGTGAAGGTCTCCTTGATGACTTGAAATACATCAATATAGGTCTCAAGATAAGAACAATCTTTGTAGGCTGTTCAATATGTGCAGACTCATTCTTTGGAATAATTTATCTTGGGGCATCGGTGCCTGAGGGTTCTTTGTATTCAAACTACTGTATCACTAGCCTGTCAACATTGAGGTTGTGAGATAGAATCCCCCACGTAGCAGATGCGCTCGACTCTAATCTTAATTGACTAGGATTGTCAGTTTTCCTAAAGAAGGTCAGTGGTTCACTCAGAGCATTCCGGCTCCCTCCATCAATAAAAATTGACCACCACAAAATAGCACAATAGTGCTGAAAGTGCATGGTGTTAAGCACCAATCAATCAATCAAGCAATCAAGAAATCAATCAATGGTACCGTAAAAGTGCGTCTGATTACAGAAACTTAACTCTAACAGTCATTAAAAGTATATATCCAGGAGAAAAAAAATCTCCGACCTGTAAATGTTGTTACTTGAAAGACGAGTATGAGGTGCAATTTTTAGCTTGACTGCCCTTCATTATTAAAACAACAGAAATTGAAAGAGTATATAATACACATTATTGGTTCTTAATCTTGGACAGGCGCAACCCCGGATATTGTACATCTTATAATTGACTGTAGTATCATTATTTAGGAAAGAAGACATTATCAATATTAAACAAATGGCATCAAATCTATGTTAAAAGCTGCATACTCATTGAATAAGGCTATAACAGCAAAAAATATGTATACGTAAAATTCGAAATTGTGGGGTACTAAATTATTACACATGTATGTGGTATTCCATGATTTGGAGGATAAACATGCAAAAGAAGAGGTAGAAGAAGAAGAAGAAGAAGAAGAAGAAGAAGAAGAAGAAGAAGAAGAAGAAGAAGAAGATGAAGAAGAAGAAGAAGAAGAATAAGAATAAACTACACTAGAAAATAGTATTTGATGACGGAGGAGCTAGACAACAAGGTCAATCCTATAAATGATTCAAGGTACGTTTTTGTCGTGATAAAGATTCAAAGAAAACTTTCAGTAATGGCAAAAATATATATCAAAGACTGGTTGGCTCTTAATCAGAATAATGTGTCCTGATAAGGTGACAAGTTTTACTGTTGACTGTAAAATCATGAACTAGCATTTTAAAATGTCGGCTCAGCATGTCGCTCTGTACAAAGCAGGGTTTATATTCATATATCATTAACACGTTCTCGTCTTAATATACAATACATAACTTTTGTTACTAGACGTAAATCACCAATCCGTCATTATTATCATTATCAAATTGATAAGACTATTATAAAAAAAATAGGGTGAAAGCGTTATCGCCTGTGTCACAATTGAAGGTTTTTACAAGGAAAAAAGCGTTTGGTCCTGTTGATTTATATAAATCTTTTATAAAAGCAGGTGCATACAGCTTTTAAATGTGTGTGCATCTTTAATATTTTAGTTGATGTTTAGGTTTAAGGCATTTTATATCAACTCCAAACTTCAGCAGTTGATACTGAAAATAACATTTGAATAAAATGGATAAATAGAAGATATTTAAGAGACTTTATTCATTTATATATTTTCAATTTGCAATAACATTTTTTATCTTATAAATCAGCAGCTTGGCAATTATTCATTGTCAACCTTGTAGCCATTTGTCCCTTGTTCGTAACATACCTATAAACTTGAATAATGGGCACACACTACTCAAGTACTGAAAAAAATAATGCCTTCATATTAAGTCACCGCCTTGGAAATGATTGCTTGTAACCATGTGTAGTTTTCACATCTTTCAGACATAACTTACCTATTTACCATACTATGAATTACGTATGGTGTTAATGAGCTTTGTTCGACAACGTATACATTTCTGTATTTATTGTTATAGTTCTTTATACGTATCTATGCGTGCAGGTTTGTTGATTATCATTTAATATTTTGATGTAAACCAAATATAAGTACATCTCAACGTTATATTCTTTTATGTTGGTCTTTTAAATGAGTATGACATTTCTTTTGTTCTGCAGTATGCCACATATTGTGACTACTATTCTTGTTTAATCCATGTACTTCCTGGTTTGAATTAACAGCAATTATAATGAAGACTGTAAGGTTTTTAGCTCTCGTGCTGCTAAAGATTAGTGTAGGGAGTGCTACAACTACTGTTGCAGGTCAGTGAAAACGGAAAGTAAAGATCATTATAACAGAGTTATGAACAGACGCGATATGCTGTATAAGTTAAATCTATCTAAGTTACTATCAATTTAAACAATCATTGTCCTGCAATCAAAGTCTGCTCTATATCAAATTGTTTAAGTTGTTTTTATTCTGGGAATGTTATATTATGTCCCAAGTTTATTATCACGTTCGTAAATTAATTAATTGATGATTGTCTAACAAATCGTTTTAAATCTTTTGCTTATGTGTTATATCATTCCATATAAAAAGTGAAAAAGTATACATATAACGTGTATAAATACAAAATAAATGTTTATGTGCAACAAAATTAATTCATTACAAAACAACAACAAAAAAAGAAAAGAAAGAAAGTAAAAGACATAAGTTAATTCATCAATCTATGTTTATATATGTTTTAATCCTTAAATAGGGAATGAAATAGATTTTGACGTATTTATTATTTTATCTGAACATACATTTAAACATAAGTAAGTCCAAATATATATCGATTATCACACAGGTTAATTACGTTTAAAGGTTGATGGTATCAAGTTTAAATAATTTTATCTGTCAATTTATTATACACATTTCACGAATATAATTGTTTTATGCGTGGCTTCAACGGTTAAGAAGCTAACTTAAGGTATGTTAAGGTAGATTAAGATCTGAATTAAAAACAATAGAAACTTCTGATACTTTGACTTAATGTAGTTTATATCATGTTTTGTTTTTAAATATAATACAACAATGGGTCACTGTGCTATTCTGAAAGATACAGGTTGAGCGAAATTGCTAGATTTTGAATAATTTATACATGAAAAATACACTTTTGTGAGGTGAGAAATTCCCCTTAACGATTTAAATACAACATTAGAATTGAGAATGCAAATAGGGAATGTGTCAAAGAGACAACAACCCGACCGAATGGCAGAAAACAGAATATTAGATGATAGCTCTTATAATGATCTTTCAAACAAATAAAAAGAAAAAAACAGGATAAAGGGACAAACTTTCAAATTATGTAAATGCACTAATCATCATTTTATAAAGTTGAATTATCTAAAGTTATCCCACCTTTTATTGTTATGTTAAACATTAAAACAATCAAAACAATCAAAACACATTCAGTATTTGTCGGAAGGGGTCGGGGTGATAGATCTGGTTTTCTTCTTTATTTTCTTGTTCTTTTCCAAAAAAGATATTTAGAAAAAAGATAGGGTGTTGAAGTTGTTTTGTTCTTTGTTGATTTTTTTTTTATCTGTTGTTTTTTGTTGTTTTTTTGTTGTTTTATTTGTTGTTGTCTATTTCTAATTTTTTTTATTTTTTTTTTCAAGTTTTATTTGTTTTTTTTTTAGATTTGTGTGGTTTATTTTGGGTTTTTTTTTTTTTTTTTGTCTAGATGTTATGCTTTTTATGTTTTGTTTTTTTTGTTTTTTTTTCTAGATGTTATGCTTTATATGTTTTTTTTTTTATAAACAAGGCTTAATATGAGGGACAACAAAATGATCGTATTCAACTAAATTCTATTATTACGAGTGTCATATCCATGTTATCTGTCAATATGAAAAGTTAGGATGCACATCTTAAGCTTAAAATTTACAAGGATTATTCTTTTTGAAAAAAAAATGATAATGTAGTAGACGTAAAACTACTTACCCAACTAAGGTTCACGTTTACATGTTATGACCGAAGACTTTAAAGGTCAACTTGGTATGAGTGATTATCTACTTTTATCACAATAATAATAGAATGATATTTTACAAACTTTATGAGCTTTTCAGAACTCCGCCATTTATAACACAAAACATATACAAATGCATGTATCATGTAACTTTATTGTCTGGTATTTGTGAATTTTAATTATTTATTCACGTTTTCTCTTGTTATTATTATCACTAAGTTTTTGTAAAGTTTAAGATGTTGCTCAGTGATACATTGTAGGAAATATGTTTCATAAACAAAAACCCTCTTTTAAAGGACTCAAATTCAACATGATGCAAATTAAATCAATTAAACACGAATCAAATGTAAAGAGTTTCAAAAGCAAAGTAAAGTTATGTAGCATTAAGCTGAAAAGATATGACACGAAATCATTACACGCATACAAAAAAAAATCAAGAACAAAAGACTTTCTGAGCCTTTTATGATTAAGTAAGAGGATACCACGTCTGAGAATATCATTGAATATCTTATTAATTTTAAGATTAGCGGGTTCGATTAAAATTCATCGTGATGAGGACGGTATTTGGTCAGCATGAAATAAACATAGTACTTGTTCTTTTGGGTGTGGCGGTTGAATACAATCAAGGTTAATTTTATGCAATAATTCGGCTTTAAAAAAATCATGACCAGCGCTAGGTTAAGAATGTTATACAAACATAATTGATCAATTAAGATAAAGTTCCCTCCATCACATTTTTATTTGCTTTGGAATTGACACTGGTGGCTATCAAGTATTCAACGGGCTATACCAGAGATGAATATACGAAAATTCTAGCAAAATGATACTATGAGATGTATTTAAGAATCTTTTTCCCCTTTAAATGCATACACATGATTATATAGTGTATATTGCCGCAATGTAAGTTTTTTTTTTTTCCATTTAATGTAATCGTCAACATTTCTGTATATAGATATAAATCTTTATTTACATATACATAATCAAAACGTGCATGTACAAACTCCGAAGAAAAATGTAAAAAGACCTGAGGGAAAGTGTACACATCGTGCACATTGACATCTTATGCATGGTCTTTTATGATAAAATGTTTGTTTAACTTCTCGTTCGAATATGTTACAGTTATCACTTATCTTAATATGGTCAATACCCTGACAAGATCACCATACCATGTACTATTTTGTACAGACGATCTCTTCGATGTCATTTACACGTATTAATTTTCTACTGTTATGGCTACAATTGCATGCATATATGAATCAAAATGGACTTTAACCTGTCCTAAGTCAGGAATCTGATTACAGTAGTTGTCGTCTGCTTATGTAGTTCATACGTGTTTCTCGTTTCTCGTTTTTATATAGATTAGACCGTTGGTTTTTCCGTTTGAATGGTTTTACACTAGTAATTTATTTTTGGGGCCCTTTATAGCTTGCTGTTCGGTGTGAGCCAATGCTCCGTGTTGAAGGCCGTACCTTGACCTATAATGGTTTACTTTTATAAATTGTAACTTGGATGGAGAGTTGTCTCATTGGCACTCATACCACATCTTCCTATATCTATTTAAATATAAATTTTCAAACGTTACATATATCTGTTTATTGATGCTCAGTTACTATATAGATGTCAGATAAAACTATTTTAAAGAAAGAGATACGAGGGATACGTCAATGAAACGGCAGGATTACGACACGAACAAATCGTACATTGTATAGTAATCTTGATGTTTTAATGTCGAGATTTCTCATTTCTTTTGTCAGTTTTAAGTTTTTTTCTATCTGGAAGTCAATAATTTAATTTTTGATTTTTATATGATTTATATTATTACATGTAATATATTTGCGCTTTCAGACCCAATTGTAAAAATGTATACAGAGGGAGAAATGGCATACTTAACATGTTCAGTAGAGTTTGAGGAAACAATGGAGATCTTATCGATTAATTATACTAATGGAGCATGTAGTCACTGTAAAACATATGGTGTTAGAAATTTATGTAATGGCAAAACAGAGTGTAGCTTTGAAGTCAGTAACAGTAACATTGGAAGTTCTTGTGGAGCGAATGGAAGAGCAACATTAGAAGTTAAATATAACTGCATACGTATGTAAATATATCTAGTTGATCATTACCAAAGACATCCTTACAAATATATTTCAACCCTTTGACAGATTAAAACTGAACAAATTTGAAAGATGTAGGAGGATTATGCAAATTGGGCATTAAAAACTATTAAGTCGAGATAAACAGACAATGATATAAGAAAAAAACGAAAGGCGAAAAATTCACAACTAAAACTGGGGATGATTTAAACTGTTGCGAAGGGTAAGCAGATCCTACTCCTCTTGTTCCACCCGTTATGTTGCTCATGGCAAGACACATTCGACGGTCAGTCTCATTTTGGGATGTCATAATCAAGGAAAAGACGACAGGAATGGGTTTACGATAACTAGAATATATTCGTTTTCATCTGTGAAACAGATATTCAACACAGTTAACAAACTCATGATGACGTCCGTTAAATTTTCAAAGAAATTTCATTAACTTTGGTAATCATCAACCTTCTATCATGGAAATCATGATAGGAAAATAGGCTCTGGAATATCGTATCAAATGAGATATATATATCCTCCATATGAAGGCGAAGCTTGCAGTTTGCTTCATAGAAACAAAGAATTCACGTTTGGAAAGGTGAAATTATCACTTTTGCGTTAAATGTTGATCTCATTGTCAATTTCTAGATGTGTTGAGATATGAACTAAATGCATCCAGTTCAATTTGATAGATTCATTCGATATACTCACAAAACTTTGAGTTGTTAAGCGATAGAACATCATCTGAAAAGCGGAAGCTGTAAATCGTTTTGAGACTCTTAGAAGACATTAAACTTTTGTATGCCAGACATGCATCTCGTCTATAAAAGTGCCATCAGTGACACTCAAACTAAAAACCTCAAAAAGGCAAAAAAGAGTGTGTGTGCTATTGTATTTCCTTTGTCGTTATATATCTTTGACTATTCATCGTTGATGAAATACCGCCCACTACAAGTGTAATTTCAAAACGAAAGTAATATGTTCTTTCATTCTTCTGAAAATATGTCCGTTCCACTTGTTGCAAGTCTTACAAAACAGAAAGACTTTATATATAGTCAGCTGCATAGCAGCGAAAAATTTAAACGTGTGCACACTTTTCTAACTTGTCGGATAACTACAAACTAATTGTCTCAACTTTTAATTATTCAATTTGTTAAATAAACGTTTGTGTCGCACATTTTTCATGTAGTACTGATTTATAGATTTTAAGATATTGTCTCCTAAATGAATATGTTTAAGGCAATGGTGGTTGGTCTGATTGGAACACATCCGCTTCCTGTCCAGTAGCATGTGGTGGGGGAATCCGGAACGTCACAAGAACGTGCAGCAATCCTTATCCAAATGCAATAGGAAGTACATGTACTGGTGAAGCTTTTGATGAACAAACATGTAACACATACAATTGTATTGGTAAGTCAACATTGTTCAAAATGTTCTGATTAAACATTCTGCATTTGATCTTTATGGTCTTTTCAAAGCTACATTTTAAGACAATAGTGATGATTTTATATATTTTTTAGTGTCATCATTTCATTTTATTGTAGCAACATTTCAGCAGCACCTCCAACAAGAGCAACCAGTTGATACGATATTTAATCGACCAATTTGAATTATGTCTGTGCCTTATTAGACAAATACAAAACCAAATATGATCCGATTGCTTTCATATTTTACTAACTATTCTTTTCTGTAACATGTTTTAATAAAGCAAAATGCTTCTTTTATTAAAAATATTTGGAAAATGTTTTCCATTAACCATCAGATGTACGTCATATAGTTTTGATACTTGTGCATTCTATTGACACATTAATGTTCCTTTATAGGTATCACATGTGCAGCGGGATCTGCTTACCCTTCCGGAGCACATGAAAGGTCCCCTAGTTTTGGTGGGGTTCGCGTTGCTCAGTTTTAGCTTTCTATGTTGTGTTTTGTGTGCAGTTGTTTGTCTGTATAGCCAGTGCGTTGTCAGTTTATTTTAGTCTGAATGTCCCTATGATATCTTTTGCCTCTCTTATTATTGTTTCTGAAATCTGAAATATAATTCTACATTTATAGCTAGAATAACTGATTGCTATTTGTAGTTTGTTCGGCGTGTAGTGGAAAATATTTCAAATATGTTCAGGACGACTACTAGAATGATAATAATGGTTTATTTGAAATAGAAATATTGCATACTGTTCTTCATATTTCTAGAATTGATGTTATTCTAATCCCTCCATTTTATATCATACACAATAATTGTCAAATTATGAAGTTCTTTCACAACCAAAAATATTAAAAAAAATTGAAGTAACGACGCAAACATTTTAAGTCTGACAAGTATACCTAGAGAGCAGTCGATGTGCCTATATTTAATTAAAATAAGTAGAGACGATACAACTTATATCCTTTAATAAGTAATTGACTTTTGTAACGTAAACACTAGTTTGAATGTATCGTTTTGATTTTTATAACTCTTTTTTGTCGAACATAAAACGGAGAATCAAAGATTCATATCCACAATTCTAAAAGAAAACAAATGTAGAACATGCCATCCCTAAGGCTGTTCCAAGTACCAATGAATATTCTCGGACAGATGTGACTTAATCAACTTGAACATTATACACAAATCATGATCATGGATTAATTTCAGTTGATTATTTGTTTTTTAAGTTAAAAAATAGTTTTGTTTTTACTTTAATGATCGATTTTGTTGAAAACATACTTGTTTACCAACTATTGAGCAACATTGTATGAACAGACCTGATGAAAATTAATCCAGAAAAGTGCATCACACAAACTGAAAGTCACATGTTTTTCTGTCTTACAATTGATGTTCTTTTTGTCAAGAATTTTTTACCTGATTTGTTATGACTATAATTGTATAAAGAGGAAAATTACAGCTTTTTTAAATTTTATATATTTTGTAGATCAAACATCTGCATGTTTGAACGCAACAGTTAACTGGAACTGCCCAAACGGACATATCGAAGTAAATAAAGCAATATGGGAAGCAAGTAGATCATGTGGCGTGGGATATAATAGTTTCATTTCACATAACGTGATTAAACTTATGAAAACTACATGTGACAACAAAACAACCTGTTCATTTGTTGCAAATGATCATAATTTTGGAGTTTCTTGTTCTACTTCGACCTCCAGATGTACCATTTTTGAATATGTTTACACTTGTATAAGTAAGTAATATCCAAAGATACAACACAAGAATGTCAATCCAACAGTCGTCGTAATTTTCTTTTGATCTGCGAATGAAAATTCTTGAAATTTTGGAACTTACTTATGTGAGCATTCTATATGAATCGTAATCACGGTCGTTCGTCCACTACTTTTCTGTTCACCGAATACTGATATGGCTCGAGATCACAAATTATGCTTTGTTGTGTATTGTAAAGAACAAAAGAGGCAAATAAGTAAATTATACCTGCGATTTCTCAAGATATTAACAGTGGTTAAGTTTAGAAATGTATTCTTTTGGGACAGACTAATTTCGAGACGCTGATAGACAAATTCATCGGCCCTTACTCTAAATATGGACAATTTTACGATTAGGGGATTTTTATTTTAATTTTACAGCACCAGACGAAATCGTTTTGAATCTTCTAAACTGAACCAAATAACTACTATACCTTCAATTTCTTGACAAATCTTTAAAGTTTAATATTATCTCCCTACATTCTATTTTACACATATAACACGGAAAATAAGTTTAAATGCGTCCATTTGAAGAAAGTTTGCAAAAAATACACTGTCATCACTACAAAAAACAAAGATCAATAAATGTGTTCGCGGACAAATATACTTAAACAATCTGACCATGTATCTATTCTTTCTATATTTTCGGGAATACGAAACAATCGGTAAAATTACAGATCAAACGACTAAACTTGTATTTGAAGATTTAATACCACTAAAACATGTAACAATTGAGATGAGACATCGACATGTGGTATTGGTCAATCACTCCGTGATGGTGACCATCAACATTATGCAATGTCGTTTTCAGTCTTTTTTCCTCATAACTTTATTGGAGCAGTATTTGTTTAAGAAGCACACCTCTATTGATGAAGTCAGTATTACGAAATGTTTAACTGAGATATATAAAGGCCATACGATGGAGGGTCCATTGCTTATCAACTGCCTATGAAATGAACACACATAGTGGGGGTGGGGATATAGTAATGATTAGAGAGGAGCTTTCACATCAATATTTAAATTGACTTCTTAATATTATCCATGTCGGGGCCTTTTATAGCCGACTATACGGTATTTTTTTTTCATTGTTGAAGGCCGTACGGTTACCTATAATTGATTACATCCACTTTATTTGAACTTTGGTGGATAGTTGTCTCATTGGCAATCTTACTACATCTCCTAATTTTTATATTCTTACTTGCTTATCTTTGCTGCATTTGATTTTCTGTAGTTTATTCACATAAATCCTACATTGTTTCAATTATAAACTTCATATTCGTAAATCAGAAGTTCTATTATAGGTATATAATTGTCGGGGCCTCCTCTTATACAGACAACTACTTTATAATTGTACATGTAAGCCTTATGGGTTGCATTACTCCATTCCATTTTTATCTAAAATGTTAACATGCACTCCGTTCACATAACACCGAAAGTGCGCCAATTAGTATTAAGCTTGTCGCAAACACGACTCATATATTGTTGCACCAATTAATTTAAATCTGAAAAGTTTTATTCTAATATTGCCAAATATTACAGAAGCAACTTGGGACGACTGGTCAACATGGTCAGAATATACAAGATCATGTGGCAGTGGTATCCAGACAAGACGACGAAAATGTTTAAACCAAATGAATACCACGGATGGATATATTTCCGAATGTGAAGGAATTGGAACTGGTTCTAGATCTTGTAATATTGAACCATGTCCATGTAAGTTAAATCCCACATTTTGTTTTAACTTAATGAAAGATTGATAGATAAAATATGTTAAATCTGTGTTTTCAATGTGTTCTTGAAAGTATTTACTATAGTCGATTGTACCGGAGCAGTTAAATAGCGAATTTATTTACAACATTTCATGGTTTTATCACTATATAACTTTTTGAATCTCCATTACACTTTCAAACAATATTTTGAAAGAGAAGTTCTCAAATTAAATGAAATGTTCCTTTGAAATAATTGATTTCAGATTTATTCAATGCAACTCATAAAAAGCCCCTTTTGTAACGAAATAGGTAAACAAGGTAGGTCTACCTACTGGAACTGTGATCAGATGTCCAAAATTGTAAATTATCTCCATGAAAACATATTCATGTATTTACGTTTCAGCAGTAATTGATATCAACAGACTGTAGGAATTCCTATGGACACCGATTGCGGTCATTTAAGAAAATGTGATATGATTGTCAATGAGACAATTCTCCACAAGAGACCAAATGTCACAGAAATTAACAACTATTTGTCACCGTATGGCCTTCAACAAGGAGTAAAACCCATACCGCATTGTCAGCTACTAAAGGCCCCCAAATGACAAGCGTAAAACTTTTCAAACGAGAAAACTAACGGCCAGATTTATGTACAAAATAATGAACGAAAAACACTTATGATATACAGCAACAAACGACAACCACAAGTTTACAGGCTCCGGACTTGGGACAGGCACATACAGTATGTGACGGAGTTAAACTAGTTTGGAGACGCACCAACCTACCCCCTTACATTGGACAGTGGCTTAACAGTACAACATAAGAAAAAACTATAAAAATCAGTTTGAAAGGACATAACGTATCTAACAAAAACACAAAGTGGACGTGTACTTATACATCCCCACAACAAAAAGACACTTAGTACAGATCTTAGAGTACTCGCAGTTACTAATATCTAGTTCAAAACCAATAACAACTGATAAGAAAAAATACATGAATTGTTATGAATTACAATTATTGGCTATATTATCGAATGATTTGTCTAAATTGCATTTAATTGATAAATTTTATAGTTTAATATCTTACGGTTACTTTGATGGTATATCTTAACCAAGTTTACCGTCTTTCAATGAATAAAATACAAATTATTTTAGATTTAGGATATTTCAGTTCAACACTGGAAACTCACAGATAAATTTTACTGTCAAAGCAACGATTGTCCCCCTTATTTGGACGGTGATGTGCATTTGAACCCTCACAGTATTTCCTAACTTGCTTGTTATATCCTGTCTAAATTAACGTTTTAAACTTCGATGCACGTAATATATGCTAAACTAGTGAATTATTCAGTCATAGATTTCGGTACCACAAATTACCTTTAATTTTAACTAAATTGTTTTATAAAAACATATATTTTTTCAGTATTAAGGCAAGCTTGGCCATTTGCCCCCAAAGCTTTCAAGCTTGGAGGGATTGCTCGTCGTCGTGTGTTGTTTCTATTGTACTAATATTTTAATTTGACATTTGAGTGGGAGCAATGCCGCTTTGACAAGCTTTACTTTTGAAGACATTCTGAACTTAAATCCTCTCGGACCGATTGGCACAATATTACATACTAATGTTTTAAAAAATATACGATCAATTAGCTGAGTGTGAGGACATTTCATGGATGATAATTGATATTTTCCATGTGTCGCAGCCTTAATCACATACTCCTGTCGTCGTTTGCAACATCATCAAATTTATTTTGAATATTGATTATTACTTTCAATGAGCAACTTGACTGCTGTAAATAGTCAAAGAGTACCTGAAGATCTTCTAGAGCACCTGAATGAGTTTATTAATTTTGACATGCGTCTTGCTACTCAAACTTTTGTTTTTGGTAAAGTGTTCTGTGGGTTATTTCTTGTCTTTTCGTTTCTTTTCCGTTATAGTGTTGGTTTTTTTTTAGATCAAGGTTTGTGAATGCCCTTTTGTATTTTCTTTTCTTTTTATCAAAATAACTGCCAATTTCCTAGTTGACATGTATCTCTGTGTTTGAATATTTATTATTTTCCGTCTATTTTTAATATCATAAATAAAAGTAGATGTGGTAAAACGCATAGACGACACCAATCAAAGACATACAACGATAAGATAATTAGAGATCAGCATTCAACCTTTATGTTTTTCTTATGTCAATTTGGTAAACATCTGTATTGCACTTGTAATCTAATCTGGCAAACTCTATCTTAAACCTGTCGTTCTTTCTTATACTTAAGCGGCCGTATAGATATAAACTAATATGCATGTATAAATCAATTATCAACAATTAATAATATGCATTTTATTTTCAGATTGTAATGACAATACTTTTCAATATACTTCAACCCAATCGTCTTTAGATCTGAAAGCAGATAAATCTTCTGATAATATGTTTTTATTAAATTGGAGTAAAAGAATATAAAATATAATAAGATCAGAATAGTTTGTTTTAAATAGTTGTTGCAACTAAATATTATCGGTTGATATTTATTTATGAAGAATTCAACATTTTTATTACTCAATTGGTATATGGCACATTTGATACTTTCCTACAATCAGCTTATACTCAACTCATTAATCCTGCCTCGTAAATGTCTGTTTTGCAATCACATATGTTCTAATTGATGCATAACGTATTTCAGGGTCTGGTTATTTACTGTTGAATGGAATATATACTGTAAACTGCTGTGGTAGAATAAAAATGTGGGAGTTTATTCCTGTAAATACTGGCGGTTTAACATTTGTTATCATGAGAAAGACGAATGATAACAAATACAAATGTATTGGCTCAAACCAAATACATATCCCAGGTATTAAACCGATAATAATTTCTGCTCTGTGGAAAATATGTTTGAAATTATAATTATAACAGTACTATGTCTACAATAACTGACTATCGTGTGAATGTTGTTGATGTCCTGATACAAGATCAGTTGAACCAAACAAGCACCACATACAAATTAAACACAGCGGCATATATATATATATATATAAGAATAAGGTGTTTCCACCTTTTCGTGGAAATACCATTTCACTTTTCATTTTTGTTTATAAAATGTTTCGCGTCATGTTTATAAGATGTTAAGAATATGATATCCAAAAGCTTTTGATCTTGGGAACTCACTTTTTCTCATATGGGATATATCTCTCTGTGTTTTTTTTTATCTCTTCTCAGAAACCGTAAAAGATATCGCTTCAACATTGTTTTGTAGAACCAAATATATATAACACCCAGGTGGTACACATTTTATCAGAAGATGTTTATATAGCAGTTTTTCCGAAGTAAATTTTCAAGATTTTACACTATTAAAAGTTAAATATTTGCAAGACTTTAGCAAGATTGATGTTAGTAATCTAGCACGTTTTGCATACGGAAGACGACTACATCGAATCGTGTTATTTCACATGAGTTGTTATTGGTATCTATGGTGATAATCTACATTGAAATCCTTTATGAAAAGTGAATTTCAAAGTGAAATAATAATTGGGACACCTGCATTTAACAATCAAGAGTTATTATCATAAAAATGATCTTATATAACTTATTGAAACTTTTAATAGAGTTTTCTTTCATCTTATTTATATATGCTGGTCTTTTTCGAACATGATACTTGTAAGTTGTCTTTGTGGTCTGTTGTACTTTCCAACGTGTTGCCTCTCTGTTTTTATTTTTATGCATTTTTACAAATTTTCGTTTCAATTTGTAAGAAACTCATTCTGCAATTCAATTATATAATTTCTAACAGCAACAGACCTTCGAAAATCAGTCCAGTTCATTGTGTCTGAAGATAAACGGATTGTTATAAGCCAGGGAGACGTAATTGGATGGTAAGTAAAATATGTTTTCTCACTTTTATCAAAACATTATCAGGAAACTATGTTATTGTAGAAGAAACTCATATTTGATATTCTAAAATGGAAATAAATGCAAAGGTTTGCAATGTCTCAGCGAAACATACTACATTGTATTTCTCCTACAATCTATAATGGCATTGTGGTAAAAAACGCACATATTTCAAATACGACGACTTATGTATTTATAATCTTCATAACCGACATTGGTATTCCTTTTTGCTGCCTTTCCCACATCATCAAATTAGTCTTATTACCCAATATTAATGGTCATGAGCAAAACTGGCGCCACTAGTAGGTAGGAAAACTGTTGACCATGGCGGAGGATCAACGTTTTTTTCCTCGGGATTCGTGTTAGCTAGTCTTTTTGTTTTTTGCTTACTGTTGTTTTAATTGCGGTTATTGTATTGTCTGTCTTATTTAATTCATATAATCAATTGCAACCTTGACATCTTGTTTCTTTTCATTTTGGAATAGTATCCTTAAAGGTATATACACAAAAAAGAAAAAAAATGTGTCCCCACGAACAATCAAATAAGAAAACTTAATCTTTACTGAATGGCTTTTGTTTTACTGTGATTTTACCATTGTTTTACAAAAGAGAGGTGAAAGATACCAGACGGACATTCAAACTCATTAGTCGAAAATAAGCATACAACACCATGGCCAAAACAGAAACAGACAAACAGACAAACAATAGTACAAAAACACAACATAGAAAACTAAAGACTGAGCAATACGAACCCCACCAAACTCTGGTGCCATATGTGTACCAGATTCTGCTTACTCTTCCAGTTTTACAGGTTTTCTGTTTGAATTTGAGGTGCTTCACCATTATGGTTCTACATAGCGTTTTGTAAACTGTTATTTGTTTTTTTTTCTTCTTCTTTAGTTTGTTTTTGTCATGGTATGATTGGTTTCTTTTAGATTTTTGTGATATTATTGTTTCTTTGGTATCTTCTGTCTTTTTTGTTTTTTATTAAATTCTTAAAATAATCAATTTCTGAAAGTAGGCTTCAAACCAATGAATGCACAACATTTGGATCAAGCTAAGGAACACCACTTTTTATGTATATAATTTAATTTTTGTCTTCCGTTTTAACAAAGATTGGAATAAACGATAACAGATTGTCTTTGATTTTACAGGCAACATACAATCACCTCCTTTTGTACGCTGAGCCCATGTTTATTGTTTACCTACTTTGTTTGCAGGTTTGATAGCGGCAGAAACATTGTTGGATTCCAAGATTGTTTCCAAGTCAATGAAACGTGTCCACTGTCGTTTAGACTTAGCAATGATGTCGGTGAAGGAGATGTCATTGATATTGAAAGTTTAAGCAGAATGTCAAACAGAATTTATACCATGAATTATTCAACAATTGAAAGTATGTCAGTGTATTTTGTTATTATGACAAAATGATATGCGAACCAAAGTTTTGTTTAAGGTTACAATAAATCAAACATGTGAACGCTGAAATAACAGACCAACAATAATTGTAATAGCGCTACGATTTCATGAAAATTGTCTTTGTCCTAAATTGGTATCGGCAATTTCGAATATTGTATTGACCTTTTGAAACAAATTTTATTGCTACTAATGTATCATCTGTTGAAAAGTCTTTTCAATTCCAATTGTATTAAAAATAATTGGTAAAAATTAAATGTTTATTGATACATGTCGTACAACCAAGCAAAACACGGTAGAATGACCCAATGACCCATCGTGTGACCCAATGACATGAATGAGCCTGGCAACTTCGAAAACAAATATTTAATTCGATGTCTCAAATAAGCCTTGACGCGACTTCTTGTTTCTGCACCACACACAGCGAAATTTGCAACCATTGGTAATAGTTGTGGTAAGGATGCAATTGTCTGTAAGTACAAATTACAACCTAGTTATTTAGTTTATGTAACAATACACAATACATTTGAATCGTTGATTATGAATTGCACAACAAATAGCCAGAAAATTGAACAAATAACAAAACTAATAAAAAAGAGTTCGCCGTTTTAACAAAACCTAATGCACAACCCTGATTTGTATTTAAAAAATTGATACTTTTGATATGATTTCGCATTGCATATTTTAGACAGACCTATCGCTTTTGGTTTACCATCTGAACCTGTCACCATTCCCGATCACTTAAACGTGGACTCATTTGTGACCACAATACCCATATCTGATCCAGACTATGGAGACTATATACAAGATTTCAAACTAGACTACGACAATGAATATTTTTATTTTGATACCACACTAAGTAAGTAAAAAGTAAAAATAATGGTGTTTCTTTTAATTATGAAAAATGTCTTTGTAACTTATATGATAAAAGTGTCTGTGCGATGTTTCTAAACACTCTACGCTCGTCTGTAAAATGTTTTTTTTCAACAACCGTAAATTCATGCAATCACTAGGTCAACTTAAACCTTAATATGCAGAACTATGGAAAAAGGAGTTTAATGTAGTATATTGTATTCGACATCTCAATCAATCATACAATTAGCAATAGCATTTGGACAGACGTAATAATTTGTTTTCTTTAAAGATAACAATTTTATGGAAGTTTGAATTTCAATAATAATTGCTTTTATTCCATTTTTGTGTCGGGATATTAGTACATGCAAATATTGATGTGATTTATAATTGTACAATAATAAGTTACATATCATATATGATTTCATACTTGTTGGCCTATATCTTTAATAAAGAAATACTCAGAAGTTATGTTATATGTCAATTCTTTAGAAATTGAATTGTTGTTCTTCCGTATGTTCCTATACAATATTAGAAGTCATCTTTCAATCTTTAGTTCGAAGTTTATGTTGTAAGGGTTAAACAGGGAAAAGACATCTTTATAATTGAAAATAAAACAGACAAATAGATAACCGAATTTAAAAATATTATATGAACATTTCGAATAAAAATCCTTCAATCGAATTGTATTCTTACGTTTTTTGCTAATTTGTTAAAGATGTAGACCGATAGTTTTCTGCTATTTTATAATTCAAGATGGTGGAACACCGATATATTACCTTAACTTACATCCTTTCAAGGTTACACAGTTTGAGAGTGTGTTACAAATGATTGCAAACATATACATATTTAGATGAGAAAATACTTTTACTTTTTGACTCATTAGAGGAATTGACAAGAACATGAAGTAAGCAATACAACTAATGTCACATGCAATACAAACCTCTCGGGTCACCTGTCTGTACCCCGTTTTTCGATTCCAGCTACTACTGCTGGAAGATTAAGTTTAAAGTAGTCGCTCTCTCTGTATCGAAAATGAAATTGAATTGATGGGTATTATTGCCAAAAAAAAAACCAACCCAACCTAACTACAGTCGAGCCTCGTTGTGTCGAACTCGGTTGTGTCAAAAACTCGGATGAGTCGATGTAATTTCTTGGTCCCGGTAAAATTCCCGTTTGATCAATGCATATTTACCTCTGATGAGTCAAACTCGGTTGATTCGAATGCTCGGTTAAGTCGAGTAAACTTTATAGTCCCGTCGATGTAAAATTAATGTAAAGTTCAAAATTTAAGAAATTTCTAAAGATAAAGACTTAATGATAACAATTCAAATCGGATGTATTTCTTATGCAACTTAATCATTTTCAAAAGAGAATAAAGCTGTATAAACATACTTGTTTGTATAACAGTCAAAATGACATGTTTATGGTGACCGGTAATTAACACCTTTGTTGATCGTCCAAGCGGAACTTTAATGTGTTGAACATATTTCACCTGACATAAAAGCGAAACGAATTTAAATGACCCAAGCCGAGTTTAATTGAATCGTAGAATAAACATTCATTAATTACATGTAAAATAAATAAAAGAATTAAGACAATTATGATCAATTTATGATAATTAAATAATAGGCAGACGACCCTTGATCATCAGAATTCTTTGTGAACTTGTTTCGTTCCTCGAGTGATTTCATAAATTATACAGTCATGTTATAGTGACTGACCTTTGTAAATACTTGTGTATTGATTTTATTTGTGAATGAATTGTATCTGTTCTTGTTTGAGGGACCAAAATATATTGAAATTGAATACACACTCATAACGTGTAATATAAAAAAAAAATATTAATAAGACTATAATGTATTGTTTTTATATTTCTTGATATACGATAGTTTCATAGTTACAAGTTTTATGCAAATGAGAATTTTGATATTATGATAAACAAAAAAGAGGCGTTTTCTTAAAGGGTTTGCTTTTTGGGATTTGTTTGTTTTGTACATTAATCAACCTTTAGTTTTCTCGTTGATTTCTTATTTTTGTTCCATTTTGTCATGTCGGGGCCTTTTATAGTTTGGTTTTGTTCATTTTGGAAAGAGGTGACTTCGATGCTTATATCTACTTCATTTGGTCCCTGGTGGATATATTTGTAGTTGTATCATTGGCAATCATACCACCTCTCCATATTTTTTTGTTATTTTTTAGTTGTTACTTTGTTTGGTTTACAATGTTTGCATAATGAACATTATTATTAATATAATTATTATTATTATCATTATTATTATTATTAAATATTATTATTTGTTTTATTTACATCATCATTATTATTATTATTATTATTTTTATTATTATTATTATTATCATTATTATTATTATTATTATTATTATTATTATTATTATTATTTTTATTATTATTATTATAATTATGATTATTATTACTATTATTATTATTATTATTATCATTATTATTATTATAGGAAGTGTTTATGTTAAGGAAGCTTTACCACACATAGTAGGACAACATAATACAACTCTCAACATACTTTTGACATGTGAGGACTCATGTTTCAATTCTGCCACTGCAAACATTACTATAACATCATTCAATGTTGTAAGTTCTAAATAATTTTAAAAGTTAAGTACGTATGACTTCAAATAATCTGATTTGTCAACCGACACATTTATATACAAGAAGTTTATTACGAATTAAAATCGAAATCATACAAAAAGTCATATGACATTTAATAACATAAAAAATGAGAAGATATCAAAGGGCATTAATAAAAAACTCGAAAAAAAAACAGACAGTATCATGACGAAAAATAAAATCGACGAAAGAACTAATAACATACGGTAACCTATAGCTGCTAACATATACGTAATTTGGTCTTTGGTAGATAGTTGTCTTATTTACAATCATATCACATCTTCATATTTTATATAAGGTTGGTTGTATTACCCAAAATCACAAAGTATATCAAAAATGCAGACGACATACAATGTATATCAATTTTTATGTTTCCAAATCGGAACAGACAATAATGCCAATAAGAAGTATAATACTTATGTAGGTTATCTGTTAAGCTGAGAGTGATGCTTGGGTTAACAGAATAGAGAATAATGGACAATAAGTGTAAAATAACGAGAGAGAGAAACAATAGAAAAAAATAGGCAACAAAAATAAGGAATGGAGAATAATGAGGTGTTGAATTATAAAAAGTTGAAAACAATAGGTAAAATAAATAAAGAATAGAGAAAAAAGGTCTAAAATATTAAAGAATAAAGATATGAAGGACACCTTATCCAGACCATCATAAGCTTGCACTCGGTGGTTAGATCATGTCATCAAGAGTATCTAAAGACCCAAGGCTATAGAAACAAGGAGATGTGGTATGATTGTAAATGAAACTACGATCCACCAAAGTTCAAATGAAGTGGATGAAACCAATTATAGGCGAACGGTTGAAAAATAAAGACCGGTTGAATAGTTTACCACGTTTTCCCCAATCTTCAAATATTTGATTTCAATATTGTCAAGAGTCATTCCCTATGAAGATTTTTGATGAGCATTTCAAGTATGTAGGATGTAGGATGAGTTTCTGACTCTTTCAACCTTTCCCCTTTGTTTCGTTGTAGAAAAAGCTTACAGGATAAATTTATGTTTATGTTTAGCCGAGTACAATGAAAAGTGGAAGTATAAATAACACTGGATAAATGTAATGTACTTTTTCTTTGTTCACCTTCACCAGGAAACAGCTAAATCAAATCTAAACACCCTTGACTAATTTTCTATTTTTGGATTTGCTTGTCCTCGTAATCAGTTGTTGACAACATATGTGTTACACCAATACTTAGTTACTCAATTAATAACTGTCCTGTTTTAAAATACAAGTGACTTAAAATACATGTTTAGGAATTATCTCCCATACTCCAGTTCGATCGTCTTAACTATGAACGACACAAGTCTGATACATAACAATAGAAAAGTATACTATTTGATATCATGATTCGTATTTGTGAATAAAATAGGAATAGATAAAATGTGTTACATACTAGTATGCCTATGAAACAGCAGCTCTACAACGAAAATCACCAAAACATAACTCGAGGTCAACCTACAATCTGCATGTACAATAAAAAAGTTAACATTTCTTTCCTTATAAATTATAAAGTTTACATATTGATTGTTGCAGCCCCCTGAAGTGAGTGACTTTACAGATGAACTGATGATAGACCCAAACAAACTTTCAAATGACTCAAGATTTCACATATTCAGCGTTGAAGACCCCTCAGATGATAATATATCTTGTGGTATGAAAAACGCCTCTTATTCTACAGACATATTTGCTTTAGAGATGGACGACAATGGTATGTATTGGACTTTTGCATCATTAAAGAAACACACAAACAAACATACAGACATTGAAATAATGAAAGGAGGACCGACCAGTTGAAAATTAAAGACACGTTGAATAGTACACATGCAGAAATAGAAAAAAAGATACGCAAATAAACAATTTATATAACACAATATAGACCCTATAGGTAAATGGGTTACGGAAATGTGTTTGACTGGAGTTACTAATCGGTCGTTTGATCCTTGATAAAAGCAGATATAATTTTAGTTGTAAATATTGCAGGGAAATGTAGCCACGTACTGACGAAATTGAGACAAGATTAAGTAATGTATTTTCAGAAATAAATAACATATTTACAAAGTATCCATGAATTTAGTAGCAAGCTTTTTGGTAGCATATCTTACCGTGTGTCACGTTTTCACTTTCATCGCGCATCAAATACCTGTTTATCGAATATTTATATAGTTTTACACATAATGATCATTTACAATGAATCAGTTCTATGTTTAGTTTTTTGTAATTGTTTAATTAATCACTAAAACTGTTGACAATCAAATATCTTGTTTTATAGATATTTATTTACGTTTCACCAACCATACAGAAATTTCAAATAATTCATCATCAGAATATAAACTCGACATTTTCTGTGAGGACGGAACAGAAGAAACAGTATTCAAACTGACTGTCAATGTTCATTCAAGGAAAAACGATCAAACAAACATAGGAACCGATCCTGATGTAACACATATAGTTATAATTGGTATTTGTGCTTTTATAAGTGTACTCTTTGTCGTTCTGTTCATATTAGCTTTAATTCTGAATTGCCGAAGCAAACGTATGATGAGAGAAAGTTCAGAGGGAAGAATTAACACTGACATGTCTACAATAGATAAAACTGTTGAACCGAACCCAGATGTTGAAATGGAACAAACTGTAAATCAACAAAAAGCGAATGTTTATGTTGAAATGTCTGCAGCCGGTAAGCCCTAAAGTGAAAATGCATGACCATATGGAGACGTGCTATAGTAGCCCCTGTAATCCAGCGTGGAGTGATCCATTAGTCTTTACGTACTTTTCGCAAGACCTTTATTATTATTACTAAATTGTTTTAATTTCAATATTTGTATAATAAAGTATTGTACTGCATCTTATAAGTTCAGAAGATAAGTGTTTCCGTATGTAAGTACTAGAAGACGTGTGTGACTAAATTGAAGATGAATACGTGACTCTTATCCTGGCGAAACATAATTATAAGATAAACATTTAAATCCAGGACATATTATACCCTACAAAACAAATATTCAGGCTAACTAATAGAGTGACACAAAAATTCAGAAAGTGATCTCAATTGAATAAATTTGATTACTGTTCTACTTTCGTTATAGGTTTCTGACGTATTAACATTTAGATTAATAAAAAAAGTAGTCGTATAAGACGACCCAGAAAAGATTCTAAAACAGTTTAGACAGTTACATATTTAGAAAAGTAGAAGATATGGCAAGATTGTCTAGGAGACAACTATGAATCAGCAACGAAACGACGTAGATGTAAGCAGTTCAGACTCACCGTATGGCCTTCAACAATGTGCAAGACCTATACCATTTAGTAAGCAATAAAAGATCTCGATATGCCAAAATGTTCAAGCAAGAAAAACCAACGGAATGATTTATGTACAAAACAATACGAAAAGTAAATATGATAGACTGCGACCAACGCCAACCTCTGAATTACAGGCTCCTGACTTGGGACTGCCACGCAAACAATACGGTAAGGTTAAACATGTTTGTAACCGCTTAACCCTAACGTTAGACAGTGGTGTAACAGCTCAACATAGATACAAATGGTAAAAATCAATTGAAAAAGGCTTGACTCATCATAATATCGACATAAACCACAAACAACACATAACAAACATACTAAAGATGAAGTGCCGATCTAAGAGTACTCGTAGTTACTGAAAGGTAGTTCTAATTTAATTAAATTCATCATTATGTTATATTACCATCAATAATGCCTTGTATCTTTTATGATAAGAAGAAGACTAAGGAGGAACATATTTTATAGAATATAATTTGCTCATTTATTGGCCCCCGTCGTTGCTATCGAAACCATTTAAAGTATCATTTCCCATAAAACTCTGAACTAATGTCAACATTATTTGGGCTGAATATATATCTATCTAATTTCTATTTCTACCAAAACTATTAGAATTATCCCTAAAGCAATTATTTTTATTGATTATTTACCATTTTTTGGCGTTAATGACAATTATCCTGAAACCTGTAATGGATAAAAAAAAAAAGATAAAAAGAGGTATTTGCCCTTGAGTTATAAGTTTGATATATTTTTATGCGTTTTTGTTTGTTTGTTTCATGTTTTGTTTTGTTTTGTTTTTGTTGTTGTTGCTTTGATTTTGTTTTGTTTTGTTTTATTTTTTGAGTTTTTTTTGGGGGGGATGGCAGGTGGAAGGGGATGTTACAGGAAAACAGCTGAGAGTACTTGCTCTCAAAAGACGATTTGTGCCTAATTTTATCCTGCTTTAACTCTTTATCTTGAAAACTAAATAAACAAAGAGAAACTATCAACAGGAATAGGATCACTAAGATAAAAAAAAAAAGTGGCAGAGCATACCAAAGGAAGAATCGAACCCATAAGTCAAAGAGCGACCGACAATAACATGTAAGAATAAGTCAAAATGATCGAAATTGTCAAACGACTCTAAATAGAAGTTTTTGTCCTGGAAGGAACATTTATGCAGGTTTTTTTTTAAACAAACATAACTTGTCCTAATAATGGTCTAAATACATAATTATGAAAATTGCATATTTGCCAGGTGAGCGTCGGCGGGTTTGGGGAGTCTCTAATATTTATAATCACGATATATTAAAAGGATTATTTCACAAAAAAATATAAATAGTACTCCAAAACTAAAATCCCGAACCCGGAGTCGGCCTTCAGCTGGCCCCTAAACACAAATGTGTACTAGTTCAGTGAAAATGGACGTCACACTAAACTCCGAAACATATAAATAAACTAAAATTAAAAAAAAAAACATACAAGACTAACAAAGGTCAGAGGCTCCTGACTTGGGACAGGCGCAAAAATGCGGCGGGGTTAAACATGTTTTGTGAGATCTGAACCCTCTCCCTATATCACTAGCCAATGTAGAATAAACAAATACACAGCAATACGCACGGCAAAACTCAGTTTAACAGTAGTCCGAGTCCGATGTCAGAATAGGTAACAGAAGAAACTTAGCAAAATGACAATGATACATAAATTAACAAAGGACCACTAGCAGTTCCTGACATGCCAGCTCCAGACCTAAATTAAACTGATTGAAAGATTATGTCTTCATCATACATTATAACTAAGAGTTCCCTCAACCAACATACATAGCTAAACTCAAGTCTTGAGTTTAGCTATGTATGTTGGTTGAGGGAACTCTTAGTTATAATGTCATATGAAAATCAAGCACAATCCCTGCCGTTAGGGTTTAGTATCATACCATTATAAAATATATGAGAAGAACATAACCCGTAGCATGCCAACAACTGGTTCAAAAATAAATGTATTTATTTCCGATGCAAAGACCCTATGAGTGAATCAATATTAATTCCAAAATATGCCATCTTTATTGACCTGACAAAGTATCGTAACTATATCCCTTCTGAATAAGTATGTTTAAAGGTTTGGTTAGCTTTTGAGGTGAATGACGACATTTGTGTGCTTTACAACGTCTCTCTGAGTAAAAGCACAAGATGATACTTTGTTTACTTGTTCTCAACCAGTTCTAGCAATCACTTCCTACGAATCAATTTGTAACACCCAGACAGCCCCGATACCCTTCTATCTACAAATAAATATAGGACAGACAAATTAGGAAGCGAGGCGACGTGTCTGATATAGATATTTGAAAAAGCGTCGTTACTTGCAAAAGTCCATAGCTGAAATGGTCCTTGAGGCCGGATCTAGAGCTCATAAACCATATTGTATGGAGGACATATAATAAATTTTGATTAAAGCGTCTCCTGCTATGCATGCAATATCCGCCATGCAAACCCACACTAAGCGAAAATATTACAATCGGGAATATAACACAATATATTTACAGATAACATGGATAAGACTATTATTTTGGTATATAAATCAATTTCAAGATATCTAAACATTCTAAAAGAGTGTAAGAGGAAAACCCAGAGGACTTATCCTATATGTCATTCAATTTGTCTTGAAATCAGAAAAAAGAAAACAAATGATGTAGGGACAGGGTTATCAACCATTTTCAAGATATTTGAATGTTATTAAAAAGCGTGATGGGATGACCATTCAATATTTTCATTCTAAAACCGCTAGGGATGGGGATGATACATTGAGACTCGCCCTATAAATCAATCAATTCGACTTGACAAAAAAACAAGAAAAGAAACATTGAGGAGTATGGATTTCAACCATACTTAAGATATTCGAACATTTTCAAATGCCTGATTAGATTCCTGGGGTTTATTCTACATACCAATCAACAGGTAAAACAAAAAAATACCTGGTTTAAGAAAGGGAATCTCAAGCATTTTTAAAAGAAATGTTTACACTTTCAAATGGTAGAATTTGTGCTGACCCATTCGTGTTCATCCTTCATAAATTCCTATTGACATGAAAACAAGAACACATCTAGTCAAGAAATTGGGATTCCAGCAATTTTAAAAATACTGAAACAATCACAAATCGTGCAAGCCAGCGATGACCCCGGGGCTCACTATGTATTTAATTTGATTCCGTCTTGTCCATTCAGATAGGTCATATGGTTCCATAGCCATTAGTGAAGCTTCCATTTCTCATGGGTGTCTATTGTAAAACCCTATCTTCGTTCGAGTTCTCACATCAGCCATTATTTGATCCCAATGCACAAACAAAATGGAGTATGCATTGTATTAATTTTAAGGTATATTCACATTGCTGTTTCTGAGAATAGGTGCGGATCATTTCATTCATAGTCATAGGTAGAAGATGAATTAGTAGAAGAAAAAGAAGCAATAAGTATGCAAGCTTCGCTTCGGACAGTTTCCTGTGAAAGGAAACATAAAGGGAGCTTTAAAATTAAGAATTCATAAAAGAACATAAAATTTTTTTTTTTTTTTTTTTAATTAATGCTGATGAAAGACTCAGAATATAATTGACGACTGTTTCAATTTTTATCTATTATCATCAGCTATATCCACTACACTAACTTTGTTTTCGTTACGCTAAATTTACAATCTGCTTGTACACTTTTCACTAGTTTGCTCACGGACCAGCAACAAATTGTTAGTGTACCACCAAAATTATCACTTGCCAAATTCTATTTTTGCCATCACATATTAGTTCATTAACGCATAAACACTTCTCTCAGAGTCTATGATATAATTATTCTGTCGTCGATCATAATTATTCACTGTCGTATATCATTATTATATGTTCTTTCATTTTCTTAGCTTTGGTATGACTGAGTAAAATCGTATAACGAGTGAATAAAGCAGCGTGGGAGATTCCTACTCTGTTGAAGCACGTGATTCTATTGATGTTACCGCATATTTGCAGAACATAAAACCATGCCATTAGATTTCAGAATTTGAAAATCATCAACAAATTTTAAACTTTTTTTGCATCTAAGGCTCTATAAATGTCAACATTACTGGTGTTTACACTATTAATTTGTGTATTGTATTTCATTATTTCCGTTTACAATTACGGAAAGTGCTGTTGTTTAGGGTTTTAAATGAATTTATCTATAATCTTGTTTTAAAGTTACAGGTTCAAGCCTGTATGAGAAAAGAGTTTTTTTTTATATAAAGGACACCTTGGAAAGAAAAAAAAAAAAAAAAAAAAAACCAGGTAGACATTATTAAGGAAGATTTACAAGGAATTGAGGATCAAAGACTTGGAAAATGCGTTGCAAATATTCAACTTTTCTGAAAATAAACAATTATGTATTGTACATGTTGTATACAAATTATTACATTGATATCATATATTGAAGTTATATTTATTCTCATTATTAGAAATGTGTTTTATTCTTCTGTATCTATTACAACTATAATCATTAGTATTAATATTTCTTTTCCTTGTAGTCTGTTGATGCATACCACTATTGATACAGTTATTTAAGA